AGGTTCCTGGCTGAGGTGGGAGATCATGGGCTGAGTATCCCAGCACCAGAGTCCCCCAAGAGAATGCCCTGTGCCACCCCAGTTACTGGGCCACATCAGTGATTGCAGAGTGGTTTAGTGGAGTCATTTAGGATCAAAATACTCCCAAACTCTCCTGATCTGGAATCACCATCCTATGGATTTGAATGAAGAAAACCTTCAAAATTCACATTTCTACTTCTACCTCTCCTTTCCCTGCCCCTCTCATGCTGGGTCAACAGATCATTAGCTCTTTCCAGAACATACACCATCCCTTCTGGTCTCCATTCCCATTGTTTGTCCAACCTCTTAGCATGAAGGCCCAGTTCCTCTAGAAGCTTTTAGCAACCCCCAGCCTCCTGCTTGGCAGCCCTGAGACCAGCCCCTTCTTAAGGCTGAAAACATTCTGGATTTTGGGGGGGGTATGGGTCTTTTGTGGCCTGTTGCCCTAAAGTCCAAGCTCCCTGTACACTGCCAGCTACATAAGGGCAGCCAACAAGGCAAAAAGATATACATTGGTGAATAAGAAGTGAGCTGGTGGAAGGGGGATGGGTGCATAGTGAGTGATGGGGGTGCATTTTAAGGGAGTGGATGAATAGGGGTGCATGAGTGCCTTTTGGAATCATGTTTTTTTTTCTGGCATTGTTACCTGTGTCAAAGATTGTTGGGTCACTTCTTTCTAAAAGAAATGGCAGTTCTGACTGTGGCTTAGTCCAGCTCAGTGCCCTCTAGCATGGTAGGAGCAATTCCCCGTCAGTGCCCCCCTTACAGGTACCCAACCATTGCAGTGGTGTGTGTTGGGGGCAGTATCTCTGGAGGTCTACTCTGTGGACATTGAGCACAGGGAAGAAAACCAAGCGTCTGTCCAGGAAGAATGTCAGATATCCCCACCCCAGTGTGTCCCCCTAGATACAGATGCCATGGACGAATCATTACACCCTGAATCACAGTGGCATTGCCTGAGGGCTCATCCTCCACCCCTTGGGGCACGTTCTGAGTGCCATGCAGGTATGCTCATTGCCCCACCACACCTGTAACCTTCATTTTATAGAGAAAAAAATGGAAGCACAGAGAGAGCACTGACTGGCCAAGGTCATAGGACTGTCTGATCTGCAAGTCTGGTCCTTGTACACCAAGATCTGGCAGCAGACAATGGAGGACCTTAATTAAATGCCAGACTCGGGATTGAGGGGTCATGACAGGATGTCAGAAGCAACTGTGAACCCTGGAGGGTCATGAACAGGGATGGTGGTCAGGTTTACAGTTTAGAAACAGACACATCAAATATTCAAGTTGGAGGGTATTGGAGCTGCCAGCTGTAAGGCAACAGGGAGGCCTCACAAGAAACTCAGAGGCATGTGCTCAGCCTTGGAACTCAGACCAGCTCCTCTTACTACTGTGTGAGCCCTGCCTGTGGCTTAGTCCTAGATCCCCAGGGTATAAATGGGGGTGTCCCATCTGTGCAGGGTGCCTGCTCATCAGAGGTGGACCCTGGACAGTCCTGGGCTAACTCCCTCATTGTAGGAGGCTCTGGGGCCTCTGCCTCTCAGCCTATTCCCTAATCCAGGCCCCATGTCTTAAGCTGACAACCCCAATATAATGAGCCTAGGGCTTCAGAGTCCTGGGGGTGATGGAAGGTTAACCCAGGTATCAGACTGGGTGGGGAGGAGATGTGGGGAGTGAGATGAGGGTTAAAAAGAGTGAGAGGTGGAAATAGGACATGGGGGGGATGTAGAAGGCCCTATGTCCAGAGAGGCAGCAGGCTCAGAGTGGCCACCCCAAGAGAAAACCACTCCAGTACTTACCTTACAGTCACAACGGGGGAGGGGGAATTGGTGCCAGGATAAGCACCTACTAGGCATTATTTCATTTCATCCTCACAACAACCCTCCATTGTTACCCACCTGTAAAACTCACCCATTTTACAGATGAGGACACTGAGGTTTAAAGAGTCAAAGGTGCTCACCTCTAGTTGCTCAGTAAGTGAAACAGGCAAGATAAGCCTTCTAACTTATTTTGTAACTCCTGTTCTGGTTCCCCTGGAGCCTCAGCTCCTGACAGTGGAAGAGAAATATTTGCCTGGGGGATATGGAGAAGATACAAGACCATACCCACGAGAGCCCCAGGGCTAGCAGGGCAAGCACACCTAGGAGCAGCGCCCTCCTCTCTCTGCCTGTTAGTCCCTCTGCACTGTCATTGAATGGGGTGGACCACGGGCACCTTGGCTGGCAGCTGCAAGCAGAGCCTCACGCCCTCCAGGCCCTGCTTCTGGGGTACTACAGCATCATCCTTTCAGTTCTGAGAGTTACCGTTCTACCTAGCAGGACACACTCCCCCAATCTGGGTGCCCTGGCCAGCTATTTATTACACCTCATTTGGCCAGTCAGCTCTGGAAAGTTCCAGGTTGGGGGAGAGGAGATTTGGACAGGACAAAACTAGGCCCATACATAGATGCAGGTATCCAGGTACTTTTATGAACACTGGAGAGAAAGGGAGCTCTCACAGGGGCACAAGCTCTCACAGGGCGCTCTCACAGGGGCACCAGGCCTGGGAGCTCCTGTCTTACTTCTATTGAGTCATATTTGTAGTCCAACCTTTGCCCCATAAGTTAGATGCCAGTCCTGCCCTCAGGAACTCCCAAACCTTCAGTCTTGCCCTCAGGAACTCCCAAACCTTCGGTCTGGAGGCATGGAGAGAAGGCAGTGAGTGTGCAGGGAAACCTGCTAACCCACAGCTTGGGTGTGACCTGGGGAGGCTGGGAAGGCTTCTCAGAGGAGGTGGTACTTGTGCATCACAAGCAGATGTCTGCTAAATGAGCCAAGGTGGGAAAGGCATTCCACGCCGAGGGAACAGCTCAAGCAAAGGTCTGGAGACACGAGCATTCCTGACATATTCAGCTAGTCCTTCACTCCCTGCATGCGGCCAAAGTCTGACACATGGGGTGTCGGCAGAGGGAGGATCTTGGGCCCTCTTGGAAGACTCTGAACACCAAGCTGCAGATCCCAGACTTATGAAAAATGTATGAATTCAATTGTCAGTGAGTTGGAGGGGAAGGTGTCCCAGGAGGGCACAGCCTGAACAAAGGCCTGGGGGCAGGAGCAACTGCACTGGGACAGGAGGTCGGCCCAGGCAGGCCCACAGACCCTCGTGAGGAGATGATATACCGATCTCCGGAGTCCTGCAGACTCTCCCTATGTCAGGAAAATCACGCAGCACGTGAGGAGTTATTGCCTCGCCACCCCAGAGGTCCACCCTCCGGCTCTGACCCGAGAGGAGCAGCAGGGTGTGCTGAGTGCCGGGAGGAAGCCCGCTCTCCAGCCCTGGCTCCTCCATCCCACTTTGGGGAGAACTTGGCACAAGGCCACTGCAGGAGAGCAAGGGGGGTGGGCGGCTCATGGCCTGTTTACTCCCCCAAACAGGATTTCCTTCTGGTTTTGATGCGTGCAGAAGGCACAACATCTGGAAGTAGGGAGCGGGGCCGCCTCTAAAGCCCAGCTGTGGCGGCTTGCCTTGGACCAGCCCCAGCAGAGTGCAGGCCGCAGTGGCCGGGCCCTTGAGGGAGAGGTGCAGGGGACACACCCAGACCTGCTGTTATCTCTGCGTCCTTGTCCATCTCTGTGTCCTTGTCCTCGCTCCTGGGAGTGAAACCAATGGCCTCCTCTGGTCTTCTCCTCCTCCCCCGCCCACCTGCTCTGGGAAGGCAGTGGGCAGCACCACCTGGCTGAGGTGTCACACATGACCTGCGTCCTTTGCCAAGTCTCAGCCCCCATTGTCGCCATGAGAAGCCCCTATCCTTGGGGCAGGGACGTTGAGGCCACACACTTCCTGGCTGGCTGTGTGGTTAAGTACCTGGCACCACACCTGCTGGACAGAGCAGCTGTGGGTCAGTGGTGGTTCCTCCTGGCCTCTCCTCCAGGGCACGCCGGCCACGTGGGAGGAGCAAGGAGAGAGAACAGCCAGTCACTCTAGAAATCAGGGCTCTCTGCCTCGACTGGGCAGCGTTCAACCTGGACTTGAAGGCCCAGGGGGGTTGGATAGGCAATTACAAGAGAATGGACTTGAGTGAACAAAGGCTTGAAGTTGACCAGTGGGATCCTGCGGCTGTTGCTGGACAGGGAATGGGAGTTGGAGGGGCAGGGAGGTGTGGAGGGCACAGGGGCTGCAGCCGGCAGAGCTTTAAGTGTAGAGTGACAGGGACGTTTCTGCCTCTCGCCCTTCTAGATTGCTGTGTGGAGAGTAATAAGGAGGGAGGGTTAGAAGTTAGAAGATTCCAGAGAGAGGCCAGAGCTGGACAGAGGTTGTGGGGTGGGGGCGGGCGCAGGAGGAAGGCACTGTTTGTATTGATCTGTCCCCCCCCACCCCTGATCCATGCCCACTGTCCAGCATGGGCCTTGGGCAGGGCTGGCATTGGCCAGCTAAATGGCTCAGGGAGAGACCGGAGAGCCTGAGTGTAGGAATGCTGTGGCTGTTCTGACAGCGGTCAGCATTGCTGCTGGGCTCCAGATGGACAGAGTCCTCCCTTGGGGGCTTCATGTCACCCCTGAGTGGAGCCCCACAGTGTCAAGCTTATAGGCAAGGACATAAGACCCAGGGAGATCAAGGACACTGTCAAAGACTCATTGGGACAGCCTGACTCAAATCCAGGTCTTGGTCCCAAATCTAGGGCTGTCCACATGTGCCTCCTGTCACGGCAAGATGTCACTTCCAAATGCATCAGAGGGGCCCTCCCAGGTCTAGAAATGGCAACACCATTCTCTTCACTCCCAGAGGCCATTCTAAGGCAGGGCTGCATTTTATTCCAGGACCCACCAGGGCTTCTCAGATAAGAGTCTGTCCCTGTGCACTTCATGGGGAATGAAACCGGGGTACCTGGAGATCTTGGCAGGATGGGTGTAGAGGGCCAGGGGATGCTAGGACCATATCTGGGCTGGGTGGTAGGCTATCCGGGGCTGCGGAACACCCCTCACCAGCCTCTCCTGCAGTTTGAAGGCTGCAGCAAGGCCTTCTCACGGCTGGAGAACCTCAAGATCCACCTGCGGAGCCACACAGGCGAGAAGCCGTACCTGTGCCAGCACCCAGGCTGCCAGAAGGCCTTCAGCAACTCCAGCGACCGTGCCAAGCACCAGCGCACCCACCTTGACACGGTAGGCTTGGAGGGCAGCGGCCAAGGCGGAAAGGATGTGTGCGCTGCCCTCGGTGGTCTCATGCGGGGTGGGGGCGGGGCAGCATGCAGAAACCCTTCCTCATCCTTGAGCCCTGTTGACATTTAGGGCAGGATTATTGTTTGTGGGAGAGGAAAGTCCTGTCCTTACAGATTTAGTGGTATCCCTGACCTTTAGCCACTGGAGAGACAGAAGGTTGTTTCCCATCTCCCGGTTGTGACAACCAAAAATATCTCTGCACATTGCCCCATGTCCTGGGAGGAGTCGTGACTGCCCCTGTTGAGAATCAGTGCCCTGGCCCATGGGCACCCATAACCTCACATGTCCCCAGAGGACAGGCTCACCATCTAGCATCTGCTCCCCTGGACCAGGCAGCCACCCCCAGGACAGAGCACTCCCCCCTCTTCCCACTGCACCCCTCCTTGGAGGCAGGCCAGAGCTGAAGTGGCCAGTGGCCGTGCATAAGGCTCCAGGGTCCTGGAACAGTGATCTGGGCCTCCTGCCTGTGTGTCGTATCCCTTGGCCCCAGTTTGTGCCTGATAGTGTAATTACTTGCAGCTCTATCTCAGAATCAGCCAAGCATTTTCTCTTGTGCATAAGAGCTTGTGTTTAAAAGCACTTGTCCTAAAATACCATCTCATATTCTCACACTGACCCTGCCAGCCTGAGCGTCACTAACCTGTTAGACAAATAAGGGAGGCAGGGCTCCGGGAAGGTTAGTGCCTGCTGAAATGAAGGCCTCAGGCCTGTCCCACCTGCCCCGTGTGTGTGTAGGGGGATGTGGTCGAGGGGACCCCAGCCCCCGTGTACAGCAGGACATGTGTCTGGGTACCTGGCCTGCATCTCTGCTTTTCCTGCCAACGTTTGGGAAACTCTTCCAAGGGGGACTAGGAGACCTGAGTGTCTGTCTAGTCCTGCCCATTCCACACATCCACAGATGAGGAAACAGAGGCCCAAGAGATGACTGACCTGCCTAGGTTAAGTCGGAGGCCACCAAACAATAGCCTCAGTGCTGAAGGCCCTCTGGTCAAGTTGTTTATTTTATAGTTGGGAAAACCAAGACCCCCAAAGATGGGGGCACGACAGAAAATAATAGGGAAATTGTATTTCAGGTCCAGACCAGGCCCTGGGTGGAATTTTCTATACATCTGCCCCTCATGTTACACAGACCCTTCCCCAGTTTAATCCTGGTGACCACGCACAAGAAAGGGGTTGTCACCCTCACTTTGCAAAGAAATTGAGATCCAGAGAGATCAAGCCCTTGAGGTTGTCACAGTTGGTAAGTGGTAGAGCTGGGAGGCAAGCCCTGGTCTGTCTGACTCAGATCCAGCGCCCCTTTCTGGAAAATCAGGTGTGTCTGCTCCCTGGAGAGGTGGTGCTGAGCAGAGGGATCAAGGGTAGGAGTGATGAACCCCACCCTCCCTCCTCCCTCCCCTCTTAGGCTTCATTGTCACAGGCTGTGTTGGGGACATGAAGTGAGGAAGCGATCTAACAAATCCCCCTGCCTTCCCTGCTTTCTCATATGCCCGGTCCTCAGGGCCCTTGGCAGCAGGCCCAAGCCTGAGAGGCAGGTTTATGCCCCAGCATGCCTGGTTGTGTCTTCCAGAGACCATGAGGCAGCACCAAAAGCACCAGGCCTCTCTGCACCACCACCCCCTGGGCTCTTGGGGTCACCTACCCTGACTTCACCCTTCCTCCCTCCCCTCTGCATTTCCTGGACCCAGCCCCAAAGCAACAGGCCTCTGGCCTCACTTAGTGTGTGAACAGAGCTCCGAGGGCTAGGTCAGGTCAGGCCCAGAATGAGCCTACAGGGTTATCTCAGGCCTTCATCTTCCCAGAAGGTCCCCTCGAAGCCCGGGAGGTGCAGCGCCAAGCCCAGCCCCTTCTGTGCCCTTCCCCATGTAAATACCACAGGCAGCTCCGTGCTCCTATGTTGCTCTCCCAGCACCCACGGCTCCAAGGCCCAGCACATCAGGCCCTGTGCAGGCGGGACCCAACCATGCCTGCAGCTCCCCTCTGGCTCCAGCAAATGTGGGATTTCCTACCCCTCTCCATGAGCAAGAAAGCGTGGCTGAACAGACTCGAGAGCCAGGCCTAGGTTCTAACTCTGGCCTTCCACCTGGCCCTGGAGGTCTGAGGAAAGTCACTTGCCTCTCTGGGCCCCAGTTTCTTCCAACAGCTACCTCACTAGAGAAAGAAGGGGGGATCCAGTAAAGTGATGGGTGGTCAGGTCTGACGCATGATCTGCACAGTGAATGAGCCCCCCCCCCCCCGCCACCAGCCCCTGACAGCGCTGACCAATCCTGCCACGTCCCAGGGACTCTAACGTGGGGCTGAGCCACTGTCCCACTTTGGCCTCAGTATCCCCAGGGGCGAGGTGGAGGTGATAATCTCCCTTTGCCTACTCCAGGGAGTCTTTCAGGACTGCAGATGAAGAAAGCACCCCAGCAGAGTGTGACTGTGAGATCTTGGTTCCTGCACCAGCCAAATGGGGTGCTTCTTGCGGGGTGCATGTGGGACTGAAAGAACATGTGGGATGGCAGTTGCTCAGTGCAGCGCTGCACACAGAGAGCCCATAGGGTGCACATAGGGCGCATTCAGCAACCGAGTGCAGATCCGGAGGATGTTGTGAGCCTCCCCCATGCTCCCAACACTGTGGAACTTGTCCTCATTATTAACAAGGCTGGAGCCTGTACGGTGACTCCAGGCCCGGGTCTTGGCTGCTATTTGGGACAGCCACAGGGTTTCCTGAGGGCTCACGGGGGAGCCGGGCTGGAGGAATGTTCTGCACACGTCAGGCCCTGGAAAAACAAACAGAGTTGGGCCTTGCTGCCCTCTTTCCAGGCGAGTGTGCCTGCACACACGGAGCTCTGTTTGTTTGCTTTTTTGACAAAAGTGTGTGGATTTGTATCAGCATTCCCAAGGGGCAGGGCATGGGGCAGGCAGAGCAGTGCCATGGGGGGAGGTGGAGGGAAAAGAGGGTGAGAGAGAGTGCGGGTGCATGCAAGGGACGGGTGTCAGGATGAGAGGGGCTGTGTGTGCGGCTGTGACCCTGTGTGGTTGATGGGGGCACCTTTGAGACATGCCTCACCCCTCGCCCCCATACATACTTTCCTTTCAGCAAAGCCAGCTTCTCACTGCGCTGTCTCTCTCTTTTTGCTCTCCTCCATTTCTTTAACCTGGCAACCCTCCGTGGCAGCACCAAGGTATGGTCATCTTTCCACTTCCCCACCCTACGAGGTCCCTGGGTGTGAGGTCGGACCAGCCTCTCCTCCGTCCATCAGGGGCAGAGTTGCCTTGAGGTCTGGGAGCCAGTCCCTGTGGGCATACCTGACACAGCAGTCCCTAAGAGGTGACGCGGCCTCCAGATATCCTCCTGCTCCGGTAGTTCCTGGGGACTAGAGGATCCTGGAGAAGCAGAACCACTAGATGCATTCAGAAGGGAACCTATGGTAGCAGCTGGAGTCCCCAAGCAGGGTTTTGGGGAAGCCCCTCTGAGAGGGGTGAGATTTCAGTTAGTGCTACAGACCCCCTCTCCCCCGCCTTCGATCTGTCCCTGGGACCTGGATGAACCAGCTGGGACCCTCCTGAGAACGCAGAGAAGGGCGCAGAGCCAACCCAGCATCCAGGTGGACAGTGGGAGGCTCAGGAGGTAGGGGCGAGAGGAAGATTCAGGATCCTGGGCTTGAAGAGGGGGTGATGTGGGCAGGGGCAGGAGCACAGGTGAGGACTCAGCAAGGCCCAAGTCACAAAAGACCTTCAAGATAGGTTGTATCCACGGGCACCAGGGAGCCATGGAGGGATCTGAGGTGAGAGCATGGCTAGATCTGTGAGAAAGGCCATGTGGCTGTGAGTGTGAGGAACACCTAAAGCAGGGGAGGGCCTAGGCACTTGGAAGCAGGGGGAGGCGGTAGATGTGGGTTTGTCATAAGCAGTGGCGCCCCACAGGGAAGGGACACAAAAGGCACAGATCCCCACTTCCCAGGCCTGTGCTGTCAGAGTCAGTGCCCTCCTGGACTTCCATGGCTGTCAGCATGAAGACTTGGGTTTCTTGAAGCACAGACAGCAGTCTGGGGACTCTGGACCCACAAGGTGTGGTCTGTCTCTCCCAACCTGGGGCACCAGCTTGGCTCTATATTTGTTCCCTCTCTGCCCCTTGTTGTACCCCCTTTTTCCCCCTCTACTCCTCTCTAAGACAACCACCTCACTTTACTCCTTGTCACTCACTGGTCTCAGGCTACAAGGGGTGCACTTTTCTTAGAGCACGTCAGCTGGAAGAGCCCATTTTGCAGAGGAGAAAGTGAGACTCAGAGAGGGGGACGTGACTTACCTGAAGGCCTGTGTGGGGTAGAGTGGAGACACAAGCCCCCTCCTTCACCTGTGGTGGGGCCGGCTGAGTCAGGCCCTTCCTGGCCGGGACATGGAGGGAGGGACAGTCATGAGCCCGCAGCCTGCCTTCTTCCCGTCATCCTCGCTATTGCAAAGCAGCAGGGCCTTGGGCCTGGCAGGTGGCCCCACACTCACCCTGCCTGCCCCTCTGCTGTTACAGAAGCCCTACGCCTGTCAGATCCCCGGCTGCTCCAAGCGCTACACGGACCCCAGCTCCCTCCGCAAGCACGTGAAGGCTCATTCAGCCAAGGAGCAGCAGGTGCGGAAGAAGGTAAGAGCCCTCTGTGTCAGGCCCGCCTCTGCAGATCCCCCCCAGCATGAAGCCAGGTTCCCCCACTCCCGAGTGCATTCACCGCTCACACGTTCATCACCCTCTGCCTCCCACATGGCCCCTGACCTGTGCTTGGCATCAAGGATGCGAAAATGGAAAACCTCGCGCCTGCCCTCAGTGGGGACCTGGCGGGGCACGAGCGTGCAGAGACACGCAGTGTAACAATGGAGGTACGCAGCCACAGTCCAGGGCGCCGGAGGGCCCTTTGCCTGGTAGGGTGGGAGTAGAAGGGTCTGTGAAAGGAACGGCCCTGGGCGCCAGGCACAGTGGTTGGGGGGTGCTCAGGAGCCATCCCAGCCTGCGCCGAGCCCCTCCACTGCTAACCCTTAGGCCTTGGGTGAGTTTCTTAGAGTGTTTGTGCTTCATGGTTCTCAACTGTCAGCTGGGGGCCACGGAGGGCTTGCTTTCAAAGGCTGTTGTGAGGATTAAACGGGCAAGTATGTGTTCAAGGTTTACAACGGTACTTGGCCCAACATAAACACTCAGAATGAAAGTCGGGGGATGCTTTCACTAAATCTCAGAAAGGAATAGGCACTGGGCAGGTGAGGACAGTAGAACAGTGGACTCCAGAGTAACTGTGTGAGGACCAGATGTCTGAGGCTGAGCAGGGAGGCAGGAGTGTGTGTGTGTGTGTGTGTGTGTGTGTGTGTGTGTTGGGGGACAGGGGTGCTACAGTTAGAAGCCCTGCTGAGGAGTTGGAGCTTTGTCCCAGAACAGTGGGTGCCACTGAGAGGTCTTAAGCAGATAAGGGACATGTCACCCTGAAAGATGGCTCTGGGGACCCAGTGGGGAGTGGGATTGGAATGGTTGGAGAGAAGTCCAAGGCAGGGGGACCACTGCCTTGGTGGTGGTGGGGGCGAACCAGGGGCAGACGTGGGGCAGAGTGGGAAGGGAAAGAAAGGGCGAGGCTAGGCAGCTACTGAGCTGGGCAGGAGGTGCGGCAGGGGTCCCCATGTCAGTCGGGGGCAGGACAGATGTCACTGCACCAGGACGGATCTAAGAAAGAAGGGATTTGCAGAACAGTATGTTTAAAGCACATCTCCAGAGAACCGCTGGGGCCACGGAGATACTGCTTGTGTGGCAGGAAGGGCACGGGGCTGAAGAGAATCACCAGGGTTCAATCTGGGGATGCAGGCATAGCAGAGGGGGAAGAGCCCATTCATTCATTCAGCAGGATATATGACATACCCACTGTAGATTCAGCAGTGAATACAGCAGAGAAAAGCTTAGAGCCTGGAAAAAGCTGACTGCTTTCATCCCATAGGATGGGGTTTACAGAAATTGGGGTGCAGGCGCAAGCAGGCCTTGGTGGGAGAGACCATGGGAGGGGACACCAGGCTCCAGACTTCAGACTTTATCGGAGTCTCGGGGAGTCACTAGAAGGAACAGAGCAGAGAAGGGACAAGGCAAAGATGCTCCACGAACTCCCCGCAATCACCCCTAAAGGGGAGGCCTGGTGCTTCACAGACTCTCATTTAGTCCTCACTATCACCCCAGGAAGTGGCACTACTTTCATTCTCATTAGAGATGTGGAAACTGAGGCTCAGAGAGTTCACAGACTGCCCAGAGTCACGCAGCTCCGAAGTGACAGAACTGGGGAGGGTCCCTTCTCAGACCCTCTCTCCTCTGAGCAGTCTCTCTCCTCCGCTCTCTGGGTGAGGGGCCTGAGCTGGGACAGGGAAGGGCCCAGGCTCCGAGGCTGGAGGCTGCTGTCCTGAGCCGACTGGTGCCCGAGGACCAGAATCCTGCCCTGGTTTTCCCAGGCCCCGTGCTTGGCTCGCGCTGAGCCCCAGGGACCCGGGGCGGCAGATCTGCAAACTTCCCAACAATAAGCATTCATTAAGAGCCATCGGAGATGATGTATCTTTCTGGGTAAAGTGACCCTTGTATTATGACAACTCCTTGGCAGCCCTGCTGTGTTTCAGAGAGAATTAGAAATGCTTTTCTTCCTTAATTCTCCTCTCCTGCTGCTCCTAATCCGATCGACATTGTGGTCTGCGAGAACATGCCTTGGCCTTCTTTTGCCAGAAACTTAATTTACATGGAAAACAGCTGCTGGGTCAGGTTGCTGAGAGCCCATCGGGAGCCTGGGCAGGCCTCCCCCAAGCCTGGGTGCTGACCCATTGGCCTGGGGTGCTGGAAGAACCCGCGGGGCTGCCACTCAGCAGCTGTGTGACACGGGGAAGACCATTCTCTGGGTCTGTTTTGTCCTGGGGAAGATGAATAGACCTGTCAATCTTCAGGGCTCTGATAATCAAGGTTAGGGTTTTCCTTGAGAGAAGGGGCCCTTCTTATCCGGGTGCATGCTCCCCCCATTGCCTGCTGTCCTGCTGTCCCACCCTGCGCTTCCCTGGCGCCCTCTGGAGAGGTGGAGACTTCTGCGGTGTTCAGCTTGTCTGCCTTTGAGTGTTATCCAAAGATTTGGTTGGGTCACTGTGCTTGTCCCAGCGCAGGCTTGCTCGTAGCCAGTGACCTCAAGTCCATTTATTGATCACATGCCATGTGACCGCGTGGCACTCAGCCAGATGGAGCCAGCCAGCCCTTCACACAGCGCATTCACCAAGCACATGCATCCCTTTCATCTCGCTGCTCCAGAGCAGAGGGGCGTGTGGGTGGTTATTGTTGCTTCTTACAGGTGGGAATGGGAGACCAGAGAGGTTATTTTTCCAGCATCACACAGGGAATAAGAAAAGGTGAAGTGGGATTTGACCCCAGGCTTTCTTTCCCTATACCCACTGTACCTTGTACCAGGAAGAAAAAAAGCCTTGGGGGAAGGGAGGAGGAACCGAAGCGGGAAGACCCTGCGGGCCCATCCAGCCACACTCTTAGAGCCTCTGGTCCTGAGTCCCTGCAGTATTTATTCCCACCACGCCGGCTCACCTCTGTGGCATTCCACAGAAAGGGGGAGATGACATATGCCTTGCAGCCCTCCAGCTACCTGGGAGGGAGGCAGCTGTTCTTTGATCCCCTGTCTTCCCCACCTCCCTTGGCAGCTCTCTGTCCATGACTGAGTATGCCAGGCCCAGCAGGGATGCCACAGGAGACCCCCTTCCTAGAGGACAGGCAGGACCCCCCACACACACACAACCTGCAGGAGACTTTGGCTTTCTCAGGACTCCCAGCTCCCTAAACTCCCAGTCTAGGACACTCCCACTGGCCTTCCTCCTGGTCAGCTTTGTGACTCGGATGGCTCTCCCAGCCTCTCCAGCCTACCCGGCTGTCTCCTTATTTCTCTCGCACAGACATGCTCCCTATTAAAAATCTGACATGTTCAATCTCTTCTTGGCCTTTGCTTCTCAGATCTGAACTACCACCACCACAATGTACACATTCAGCTTCATTTTATAGCTGAGGACACTCTGGCTCAGGGAGGTCAAGGGTCTCCGCCCCAAGACCACTGTCCTTCCCATCCTATGTGAGGGTTGCTGGTGGTCGAACACTGAACCCCCTCTCCCTCTGCTTACTCCCCAGCTGCACACGGGCCCTGATACTGAGGCCGACATCCTGACCGAGTGTCTGGCCCTGCAGCAGCTCCATGCGTCCACACAGCTGGCTGCTGGCGACGGGAAGGGTGGCCGCGCCCTGGGCCAGGAGCTACTCCCAGGTATGGATGAGGGGAGGCAGGGCCCTTTCACTGGTGCCACCCAGCCCTTCAGGAAGACAACAGTGCCTTGTGAGCCACCAGGGGCCACATGGGTATGACTTATGAAGGGCACCCACTCCTCTGGAGTTAATTGCCTCTCTGCCCTGGCTCCCCACCTTCAGTCCAGTGGGAGTCTGTGGCTCCCCACTGCCCATGGATGAAACCCAGGCTCCTCTCAGCCTGACCTCTGAGGCCCCCGGGGGCTGGACACCCTCGTGGCCTCCTGCCCCAACTTAGCACATTGGACACAGCCTCAGAACACCCCACGCTCTCTCTTGTCTCTGAGCCACTGTGACACCTTGCAGTCTTCCTCCCCAGCTTCACCAAGGCAGCGCCCGTGCTTCCTTCAGAACCTGCCTTAGGATTCGGGTGTCACCTCCACCTGAAGCCCCATGTATTCCTACCACAAATCCTTGCCTCAGAGAAGAAAGATGCCTCTGAAGGAATGGACAACTTGGCTGTAATCACTTCCAGTTCATCACTAAATTCCAGAGATGAGACAACCCCCCACCCACCCACACACAAACACACAACCGCTAGGACCTTACAGGCCCACCAGCTGGGTGCTCAGAGCCCCAGGTCCAGCCGAGGCAGCTGTCTGCTCCTCCCAGCAGTTTCAGGCCCGGGGCATGTCCAGGCACCAGCAGGAATGCTCGGCCAGATAAGGGCAGTGTGACCTTCGGATCCAGCTGGCAATACCCACCCTCCACTCTCCCCAAAGAAACCTCCCACAGTATCAGAGCAGAAAGCTCTTCCCGCTCTCTGGGATTTCTTGAATTACTCCAACCATATTTAACATTTTTATTTTCTATCCTTTCTCCTCCTTGTTGAAGTAGCAGCAGATGTAAGAATGTGTCAGAGCACTTACCAAACAGCCTCAAGACAGCCAAGGGGTTGATCCTTTCCCGGGGCCCACCTGCGCAGGGCTCAGGTCTGCGAGGGCAAGGGTACCCCACTAGGATGGGTCCATGGAGGAGGGCTGCTTCTCACGGGGCCAGAAGGGACTACAGAGTTGCCCAGGCCAGGGATGAAGGTTGCACCCAATGTGCCATCTCCTATGGTGGTGATGACCATGTGGAGCTCTGTGTTGGGAAGGGTTCTGAGACTTCTAGCAGGATAAGGCCTGTTACTGCTTAGCCCTTGTAGCCCAGGGACCCAGGTCCCACGGCCCTTTCATTTTTCTCCTGGGAGAGCTCGGACCTGGGCAAGACTTACCTAAGGTCATCTGGTGAACTCAACAGTAGCTGAGCCAGGTTAGCAGACTGTTACCCCAGATACCAGCACAGTGCTTGTCCCCAAGAGAGGGACCAGGGCCGGCAGTCACCGTCCAGAGCACCAGCTTGGGCAGGCCATGTCATAGTCATCATCTTATTCAATCCACCCTGAGGGTGGGGTGAGGAGCCCCTCCTACAGCTGAGAAAGAGAATCCATTGAGGCAACATCACAAACTGGGGAGCATCAGGTAATGTCACCTGCCTAGGCCTGGTCTGTGACACTGAGTGAGTGGTGACCTCCCTGCCTTCAGCCTGTTTCTCCCCAAGACCTGCACTGAAAACCAGTGTGCAGGTGGACGTGATCCTTACACAAACTCTGTGACCAATAATTTTATCATTATTCCTGTTGCTTTGGTGAATGAGAAGAGTAACTATCCACTCATCCATCTCCTAATAATGCAGCAGCCGATACATATTATGTGCCAGGAACCGATCCAGAGACTGTATATGTATGTTGCGTATCATAACCTGTAACATCAGCCTCATAAAGCACATGATTTAGACTCTTTCTTTTCCAGATGAGGAAACTGAGGCCTTGGGAGGTTAAGTAACTATTTGCCTGAGGTTCCACAGTCAGTAAATGGCAGAGGCAGGACTTGAACCCAGGTCATCTGACTGCCGGCATGCTGCATTCCCACTACTAATGCTAGGCCTATGCCACACTGAGCATCTACTGTGTGCCAGGCCCTGTGCTGGTCCCTGTCCTACAGCTGCTCTTAGCACCTCTAGGAGCGAATGACCAGCCAGGCAAATCCAGGGGTCCTGGATCCGGCCCAAGCTCCCCTTCCTTCCCCCAGCTCTGGCTCCAGCTCTGGCCACCAGCTTCCCCTGCAGGCTGCACCACCAGCGGATGCCGGAGGCACAGTGAGGAACAGATGTTAGGGCCAGAGGTTAAGCTCACAGCTGATGATTGATGACCCTGATTTATAGCCTGAAATGGTATGTTTTGGGGAGAGGCCTGCCTGGTGGCCCCCACTTCTGCTGGTTTTCCCAATATGGTGCTTCCTTCGTCCTCATTCTCTGTCAAGTGTCCAGCATGCCTAGACGACACACTAGGTCTCCCGTGTAGGTGCATCCTCGGGAGACTGCACAGGACCAGAGCAGGGGAAGCAGCGGATGGAGTCAGGGAGCTTTAGGACAGATAAGTCCAGAACAGAGGGCTGAGGGCGAGAAAGGGGCTGGTGAGGGCGAACTTTCATTGTCTGACTACAGCTAGCTCCCTCGAGCTTGTCTCTCATCAGTAAGGTCCAGCTCTCTTCCTAGGAAACCCTTGGGAATGTACCTGGCAGGCCTCCTGTGGGGTAACATGCAGACCCATGGTGACGTGATGGGCAGTAAGGACGTGAGAAGCATGAGGTCAGCATAGCTGAGGGAGAGGCAGCAGGATTTATCAGGATTCCAGGCCTTCATAGCTGTCACGTTCCCAAATTGGTTCAAGATGGCAGGTAAGGTGGTTCTAGAGAGAGTGGTGAGCAGAACAAGCCAGGAACAGCACTGAGCCAGGCTCCATTCACAGAAATCCCCTCTGGTGACTTCCTTACCATGTTGAAGGTGACATCAGATGGATGGGCACACTGCCCATGGGAGCAGGGGTTCCCAAGACAGGGAAGAGTAAGGAATGCAGCCCAGAGGCAGAGGGCCCTGGGGATCTGGTTCAGAGACCTGGGTGTCATAGCCAGCCCACAGGGAAGCCTGGGCCAGAGCCGGAGTCAGAACCCTGTGCCTTTTCCTGGGCTTGACTTCAAGTGGACTGTCTCTTGGCATCACTTGGGAGGCAGACCTGCTTTATGGCTTCCACTGTATAATTTGGGACAAATCACTGATGTTCTTTAAGACTCAAGTGTCTTCATGTTAAAATGGGATCATCTCCTCTACTGACAGTTGTCGAGATGGTAAAACTAGACAATGTGGAGAGAGTTTGACCTCTAGTATATTCTTAATAGTAACTTTTTGAGGAACACCTTCTAGAAGTCAAAATTCGACAAAGTGAAATTCAGAGAAGTAGATGAAGCGGTGTTGAAGAATGACGCAGCACAGAGATATCTGTGACCCAGTAACACTGAGAGGTGTCCCATCTGAGTAGGCAACAGTCTGTCGGAAGAACATGGGGAACACTGCAAATGCTGGGGGCAGGGGCGGAGGGACGCAGGGCTGGAAATATCCAGCACATAGAACAGTTCAAAATATTTTCTAGATTCCATTGTTATTTCTTCAAGGATCCCTGAATTATTTTAAAAGCATAATTATTTAAAAGCATGATACACTGGGTATTTTTAAATTATTTTCATGATTTCTGGCCCAGTTCTACTTGACTGATATGCTCATTTTTAAATCTATTTAACCTTTCCCCTGCCCACCCTTCTTGACAACCCCCTGTCAAGCATATCACCTGCTAGTAGACCATAGTGCTTTACAGCCATAAACAGAGTTAGAAAACAGTAACTATTGTTAATAATATACATTTATTATAAAAGTAGGATTTTGCCTAATATCTGAGGCTCTAGCTCCAGGCCAGAGTTATAAAATCTTTGATCTCATAAGCCATGTTTAGTTTTTTAACAGTTTCAAAGGCCTTTCATGGGCACGTTCTCTCCACTTTACCACAGTCCCCACTGCTCCCTGTTGTTGACCTCTACAGTTTTACCTGTTTTGCTCTCTGCCATGCTGCCTAAGACATGGACCCTACACTCCCTCTCTGTCACAGCCCTGCTCAATTCCTTGTAGTAGCTCCTTGAATTGTAGATTTGGGCCAGAGGGGCCAATCTGGAATGGGTTAGCCTTAGAACCCCAACCACCTGAGACGATAAAATGTCCCCCTTTACTTCAACCATGATGGAGTATCTTGTGTTTTCAGGTGGGTCATGAGATAACAAAGGGCATTGGATCTGGATCTAGGAAGACCAGAGTCATATTCAAAGTGTACCAGCTAGTGGACTCCGATCGATCGGGTGGATACTTTCTCAGTGTGGCCCTGGGGATGGGCCCCTGGTCTCAGTGTCCTCCCAAATCATCGACTTAATGGAGTGGCTTCAGGGGCAATCATGCCAATTTCTATTAAAATGGAAATAAACATAGGTAGATTGAAGGGGGATGCATAATTGACTCCATTTTTTTTTTTTTCAGATACAAAAGGGAATGTTAATCATGCAGCCCTTGCTTTGGGCCCCACCCCACCCCTTGCTCCAGTCTCACAGTAGGGAGTTAACTCTCCCCTCTAAGTGGGGTTCCTTGGTGAAGGCATTTGGGAAACACTGACCTCAGTTTGGCCCTGGAGCAACAGCTGACTGTGACCTAGTGCCACCAGTTGATTCATTAGCCCACCTGTCTTCTCAACAAGGGTAATAAGACCCTAAGGAGTAAAGGGCGATACGACCCTGCTGGCATCGTCTAGGTCTAGAACGTGGGATTAGAGCACAGCTGCATCTCCCCTCATTCAGGGCCCTTGTGCAGTGTACAGACTGTACAACCATCCATGGCAGCCCTCTTAAAGATGTCCCAGGCCAGCCCATATGCAGCTAGCATAGCCATCCTCTCTTTGGGACCCTCACAGTGGATATCAGCGTCTGCTTGCACATCTCTGGGGGTTTATTTTCTCCAAAGGCCACCGGTACCCAACAATAACTCTTGCCTGTTAAGAAGTATGGCTGAGTCCTAAGCTATAGCCTACTTCAAGCTTCTCTCCATTCTGGATCCTGATCTGCTACTGAGTCTACCCACTCACATGCCCCACCATCACCACCGTTAAGCCCATACTTCTGACAGTCCCTTGTCACTCCAGCTCTGCTGCCTGGTTAGACCTCAGCCCTGCACACAGCCCTTCAGACAGGGCGTCAGCAGAGCAGAGTGGGCACATCATGCCCTCATTTAGGCCTCTGACCTTCTGCTAATAGGACCTTGGTTTCCCTTCTTGCCTTTCTCTCTATAAGCAGGCCCACAGCTCCTGAGCCACCCCCAGCCATGCCTAGGGAGTGGCTGAGGCCCAGTGATGCTTGTTTGCTTCCCTGCAGGTGTGTATCCTGGCTCCATCACACCCCACAATGGGCTTGCCTCAGGCATCGTGCCCCCCACGCATGACGTGCCATCCAGGCACCACCCACTGGATGCCACCACCAGTTCCCACCACCATCTGTCACCTCTGCCTACAACAGACAGCACCAGGGAGGGGTAGGTACAGCAAGCCAGTGGTCCTCTGGGGACAGCAGAGGGCACCTGCAGGGAGGCAGGCGTTGTGCGCGCTTAATCGTTGCTGGTAATGAAAACACCGAGTTGACCAAACAGTCTGCACCAAACAGTCCTGTGCACAATTTCATTGATTCCTCAGAGTAACCCTACCAGGCGGGTGGTGTTGGACCTGGCTCCTTGACACTACATTTTTTGCACCCTCTGCTCCTCGAAGGACGGCCCTGGGAGATGCTATACCACCTTGACCCCTGCTTTCTGACTGCTGCACCCAGGCCTCCTCGGGACACTCTGGGGCTCTGCCTCAACTCACATCTTGAATTTGGTGAACAGACTGCCCGTTGCCCACTCCAGAGATGCCGGCCTGGATCTGGCCCCCACTTGTGGCCACCGCAGATGTGACCATTGCCTAGACTGCCAGGGCTGTCTCAGGAGCCCTTATGCAGCATCACTGCAGGGAACCCTGGCCTCTTCCTGTGTTCAATGTGGTTCTCATTGTGGCCACTTAATTGGCTGGGAATGGTGAATGTGCTAATTGCTGGCCCCTAATGCTGCTGAAATCTGTTTCCTTGCAAATGGGCAGAGGGAGGCCTCTTAGCCCCACTGCCTGCCCTCCCTGCCACTTTCACTTATCACCAGCAGCAGCTTAATCAGACTTGTCCCCCAAGGCCTGATACCAGAGCCTTCCTGCCCTGCCCTTCCTCACCATGGCTGCAGCCTCGACCTTGGCTTGCCTGTGCCTGGAGCCATCCTGGCTTCATCACCAGATTTGTGACCCAGAGCTCCTAACTGATTTCCTCCCACCATTCATTCATCTATTCATTCGGTGTCCAGTTACTGAGTCCCTGGTGTGGACACTGGGTCCAGTGCTGGGGCCATCGTTGATCCCAGGAACACGTTGAGGACGGAGAGTTGGACAGCCCGCAGGGAGTGACCATACGGGACAGTCCTTTGAGAAAGGAAGGCAGAGGGGGCTGTGGAGAACCCAGGGGAGTGGTTGGGGCTGTCAGGCTTCCTGGAGGTGATGCTATGCCCACCTCCAAGGTTAAATAGGAATTGGTTGAGTGGAGAAGTTGGGAAGAAGGAACAGCAAGGGTGAAAGCAGGTGTAGTGAGAGCTTGGTGAGTTCTGGGAATCATGAACCATTGTGGAGGGTGACAAACTCAGAAGAAGGTCACTGGGGCCAGGTCACAAGCCCCATGACAGGACTCTGGCCCAAGGATCCCGAGCGATGATAATGTTGAGTTTAAGGATGAGAACACACCCAGCCTACAGTGTGGGGCTGGTTTTCCAGGGGTAGCAGCGAATAAGGGGTTCAGGATGGCAGTCTGAACTAAGGCCAGTGGGGTGGAGGAGGAACACTGGCAGACATTAGTGATGTTCAATAAACAGGACTCAAGGAAAGCCAGAGGGCGGGGACCATCAGGGATGAGCCCCTGGGTGGGCAGGAGCAGGGGAAGAAGAAGATGGCTGTGAGTCAGTAGAGAGCCAGGGAGAGGCATCCTGATGGGGTGCAAATGGAGGACCCATCCTGAGCCTCATTTTCCTCCTCTGTAAAATGGGCATTAAAATACCATCCTCTAGAAGGTGGTGAGGATCAGCCACACATGCCTGACACTGTGCTTGTCACCTGGTACAGGGGCCCCCGAACACTAGTCCCCTGCCCCCCATTCACCCACTGGCTCAGGCCACCTGCTCACCCAACCAGCCTAAAAACATTTCCTGCCAAAGAAAAACAAACAGAGAGGCCTTTCCCCGCTCAGGGCTGTGCACTCGGTGTGCCTCATTCATCACCTGCCTGCCGCCTGCGTAAGTGTCCATCAAGAACTCCTACGGCGAGCGGCAGAGTGATGACAAGAGCAAGACGGGACCCCCATCTGGCCAGCACCCCCTTGCCTGTGAGAACTGGGGCTGTCATCCCAACCAGCGGGGCACCCTGGCTCCTCCGGGCTGCAGGAGAGAAAGGCCCTCGAGCCTGACACCAGACCCAGGCCCGGCTTGAATGGGTTCCTTTTTTCAGCCTCTGAGAAGGGGGGTGGCGGGGAGAAGGCCTTCAGCCTCCCCTCCTGGCCAAAGTCAACAGGGAAGGCCACTCATGGCTCCCCAGTGGTTTGCTGGGACGTTTAAATAGCTTGACAGAATTATCTGATTCACTCAAAAATATGCTAAGAGGGCCTGACTTCATGACCAAATTTATTTACCCTGGCTCAGAGAAGACACCGAATAGGGTGGGGTTTTTTTTCCCCCAGCCTTGTGCGAGGTATGAAGCCCTCAGTGTGCCAGGCCAGTGAGGTTTTATATTAATTTTTATAGGTTCCAATTGAAGCAAAAATATTTGATTTAGGAATCATTTGCATGACTCAGAGGAGGCGCTCCAGATGATCTTTTTTTCCTTTTAAAGAGTTCAGGTAGAGCGGCGTAACCTCAGCCGGCATGTCTGCTACGGAGAGTCGTGTTCTGTTTAATTTCACTGGCTGTGAAGGTGGCAAATGTGAATTTATGGCAGATTTGAGACAGGAAAAACAAACTTTGAAAAATGCATGTTTTCCCCCCTTCAGATCTGGTGCTCCTTCATTCTGCAGGGCTGTTCTCTGGGCTGTGTAGCGGGCGATTCTGAAAGCATTTGTTAGTGTTTATTAGCCTTTTGCTGTGTGCCCGGCCCAGTGCTGAACAGTGGGGGACCCAGAGGGTGGAGACCTGGTTCCCCTGAAGGAGCCCCCCAGGGAAAGGAACGCCAGGAAGTTGGGGAAGAGCTGGGGGTGGCTGCCAGGCTGGGCGGGCACCGCACACCGCCCGGAGCAGCGGCTCTCCACACCTGCCTCTGCCCAGAGACTGGCTATGCGGATACCCCTCGGGGCTCCAGCGGGGCGTCTGGCGTTAGCACTCGGTGACGGGGAATTGCTGGGAGAGTTTCCGGTGTCGGTGGAGAACACAGCACCTCTGCAAGGAAACCAGGCTCCAGGACACCAAGTTCCTTGCTGATCGTCCGTCCTAAATACCAGAGGGAAACATTTCCTTACTGATTCCCTTGCACTCCAGAGCTTGCTGAATTTGAAAGTTGACTTCCAGTTTGAACATAATCTGAAATACAACTTCTGTTGTCCTTTAGAGCAGGTCAGCTGTGAGCTCGCCGTCGCTGGAGGGGAGCAAGCAGCGGCACCTAGGCCGCAGGCGCCCACCTCACCCCCCGAGCCCTTCTGTCTGTTCTCTCCAGGTTGGGACCCGGCCTCCTCCCGCCCATGGTCAGCCCCCTGAAGGGGCTCGGGCCACCGCCGCTCCTGCCATCCTCCCAGGGCCATTCTCCGGCGAGCCAGTCTTTCCCCACGCTCCCCAGCAAGTCACCCTACCCGCCCTTCCAGAGCCCTCCGCCCCCACCTCTGCCCAGCCCACAAGGTAAGCTCCTTGAGGGGTGCTCTCCACCCGCCTGCTGATGCGGGGTGCGCTGGACAAACGACACTGAGCTGGGGCAGGCAGGCGGTGGTCAGAGAGTAAGGGCGGGCCCAGAAGGCCACACCTGGAGAAGCCTGGAGACAGGGGACCCGGCACTCCTAGTCTGGGGAAGCTTCCTGGAGGAAATTTGTTTTAAGGGGTGATGAAGGGTCCATACGATCAAGGGCTCTCCCTGAAGAGGGAACAGCATGGGCAGTGGTGGGAGGGGGCTGGGAAAGGCCTGCTCCTTGGAGGGACTGAGTGACTGGCTAGCTCCGAGTGGAGGGGAGAGAGGACTGGCAGCCCCTTCCCTCAGGTACTCGCATCAGCCGCAAATGCTTGGAGACAAGCACAGCCCATGAGCTCACCCCCAAGCCCCTCCCCCTCCCCTGCTGACCAGAGCCCGGGAAGGCCCCAACTTCTGGCTGCTTCTCTCGGGGCTCTCTTCTCTCTTTCACACCGTGATGCCTGGGCAGGACAATATAAGAGGCCAAGCAGTACAGCAGGCAGAGTCCTCTCCTTGCCCTGGCATTTCTCCCTCTGTTAATACAGCCCCTGCCACCTCCCTCTGCAGGGTACCAGGGCAGTTTCCACTCCATCCAGAATTGCTTCCCCTATGGTGACTGCTACCGGACAGCTGAGCCAACAGGCAGTGGGGATGGACTGACGGGGGACACCCACAGTTTCAACCCCCTGAGGCCCAATGGCTACCACAGCCTCAGTGCAAATTTACCTGCCACAGGTAAGCCCCACCTGCACACCTCCCTTCCCTCAGTACCTCCCAAGGCCCAACCCAGTGCTGGGCGCTTCACGCACATTTCCCTGTCAGCCTTGGGACATCCCCATGAGGTAGGGCCACCCCCACTTTGCAGATGCCCCAGGATCCCGCAGAACTGGCCTTCCTCTTTGAGCCCATTTCCTCAGCTGTAAAATGGGGTTGCTCAGAACACACTTTGCAGGATTATTGTGCAGCTCAGTGAGGTAAGACAAGAGGAGCACTTGGCACATGCCCAGTGAGAAACCCTTCTCTGGGTTTCTGGGTCTGGCAGGCAGGGCAAGGGAACCTGAAAGTATGAGAGCGGGTTGGGGCCACGAAGGGCCAGCCCCTTGAGAAGACCCATGATGTCCCATTCCTGATTCTGCCCCATAGGCAGCACCAGGTAATAAGGATCACGCCAAGCCAGCGTGCCTATCTCCCCAGCCACCCTGGGCCCTTTGGAAGGCAAGACCTAGGTGGCTTCTCCCAGGCTCCTTCCCCACCCACCTGCCTGAAAGAGTAGGCCCTGCTGAGGACAAGGGATCCTAGGCAGGTAGTGTGGGTGCTGGGAACCAGAGAAAGACCCTATAGCACAGCCCTGAGGCGTCTGGTCCTCACGCTCTCCCCCCACAGGCTACGAGGCCTTGGCCGAGGCCCCGTGCCCCCCGGCGCTGCCGCCACAACCTTCTGAAGATGTCGTGTCTAGTGGCCCCGAAGACTGTAGCTTCTTCCCCAATGGGGCCTTCGACCACTGCCTGAGTCACATCCCCTCGATCTACACGGACACCTGAAGAAGGCTCCATCCACACCTGCCTGCCCACCACTGCAGACACTACCTTGCCCACCCACCATCTGTCCCCACCCTCCACGCACATGGGGTGCTACGTCTTCAGCAGCCGCCCAGCACTGGCCGGGGAGTGATGGTCCCAGCCCAGTCCGGGCACTCAGAGGTGCCCGACGGGATCCATGACCATGACGTGCCCTTGACTGAGTCATCCATTCCCTCCACTGCCACCACCACCAACACGGTTTTGAAATCACAGACCTCGTGTATATAAAATGTACAGAACTTGTTTTCCATCCCCCTGCCAGTTTTATATTTTTGGTTTTACAAGAAAAACATTAAAAACTGGAAACGAGATTTGGAACCTGGTTTGTGCTTTGTGCGTGAGGCTGAGATGGGAGGGCGGTGGAGGAGTGTGTGATAAGGAGGCTTGGAGGCCACGCAGAAGCCTGCTCCCCCAGGGAGAAGGGGGCCTGAAGCTCCTGGTCCCTACCATGTGCGATGGGCTCGGCAGACACCAGCGTGGGCCCCAGGATCACGTCCAAGGCAGGCTTATCCCACGGCAGGCAGGCGAGCAACAAGGCTGGAAGGAGCCGGAAGACAGACTGAAACCAGAACCCAGATCTATCTGACCCCAGTCTCTGCTCTCTGCACTGACTTCTCAGTGGGGAAAGCACTTCAGTTCTGGTGCTGGCTTTGGGCAACAGGGAGGCCCTGGGAGTGCAGGCAGGTCTTCCAGTGATATCCACACAGCCTCCAGAAAGCACAGGCCCTGCAGGAGGGCGAGGGACAGACAGCATCCTTCCTATGCTGCCGTACCCCAAGTGGCCCAGAAAGGAGGTCAGTTCTGAGGGCCTCACGCTCCCCTGCTGTCTCCCTCCCTAGCGTCCAGCACCGGGAACAGACCCTCCTTCCAAGCCTAGATGATATCCTGAATCTCACCATGTCACCTTAAAGCTCTCCTGGTAAAATGTCCTCAAGGAAAATTCCTGTCATCACTGCTCAACTGAAACACCGCTAGAAGGCCCTCCGGTGGCCCAACCCCATGGGAGCCATCGGTATTCAAGCCCAGGAATCTCTTTGTTCCCCAGGGCTGGTTAGATGGGCAAAGTGAGGGGAAGAGCTAGTCAACCCCTTCTTTCTACAGAGGAACTGAGGTTCCCAGAGGCCACCCCATCAAGTGGTGACAGAATCCCGATTGCAACCCACGCTGCGAACCTGCTCCCTCCCATCAGCAGGGGGCGCTGCTCTCCACGCTACAATTGGCGCCGCTCTGTGCCAGGCCTGCAGGTGCTTCCTGGGGCTCAGCTTGAGGTTCCTCTTGTTTGCCCCCCAGGGCCACACACCACCGCACTGTGCCCAGGCCCCCCCTGTGGGGAGTACTGCCAGGGCTCTCTTCCCTCCAGCCCTGAGCCATGGAGGAGCCAGGCATGGCAGGGAGAGGGGAGGGAGTCTCTCAGCCTCTGAGTTTTCTACTCAAGGTCCCGGCTCCAGTCAAGCAACCCTTTCCATACTTTCCACCCTCTGGATTGTCCTCCCACTTTGGGTATGGGTGATAAAGGGGAATTGCTCCCACTCTTAGAAAAATCAGGCTCTGTACTGTCCCTTCTCTGCCTGACACCCTGCCCGGCCTGGGCAGGCCCTTCACCAGCCCTCCTCAACTGCCCCGGCCTGTGGGGACCATCCGTTCCCTGCCAGAACTATTGCTCCCACTGCACAGATGCAAGTTATGACCTGTCCAGGTGGTGCAGCCAGCGGGTGGTGCAGCAGGATTCAAACCAGGACCTCACACTTGCACCCCTTGAAGTCTGGGGCACCCTGGCTCCCACCTCTCCCAGCCCCGGCCCTCCACAGCAGTCCCACTCAAGCCCCCATTGAGGAGACTCTGAACCAACATCACTCAGTAGACTGGGCATGTGGGCTGAGGATCCAAGTCTCCCGACCCCTACTCTGGCGCCCCTTGTCCCCTCAGCCACCCCCCACCAGTGCACACACACACACACACACACACACACACATACACACTGGGGTTTTATGGAACTAATTAGGTCGTGGCAAAATTCCTTTAACAGGGATGCTCAGGAATCAATACTGCATGTCATTGTAAGCACTTAATCCAGTCCAGATAAGCAGAATTAAGCTGTACAATGAGGACATATTTCTATTAATAATGAAAAGGGCTGAGCTGTGAGCAGGAGAACACACAGGGAGCTGGCAGTTGGATCCCATTTAATTTCAGAGAGAGGGAGAAAAGGAGACAAAGACTAAGAGAAACAAAGAGACTGAGAAAGAGAAAAGACAAGTGAGCTGAAGACCAAGGCAGATGCCCGGGGTCCTGCACGCAGTAGGGGCTCGATGAGTCTTAGCTTTTGGGAACCTGAACAGCATATGTGATTGAGCCCCTCCCCTCTCCTCTGAGCCTCCCCTCCTCCTTGAGCACTCTGGGGGCCCTCCCCCCTGCCCCCCCCATGCCCTCAGGGTGTTCCTCCTGGTCTTCAGTGAGCACAGCAGGTGGGTGGGGCCCTGAGCTCAGACCCAGGGTACTTGGAGCTGAGCTCCCTTCCGCACTCAGTGCTTTTTTTAGAGTCTTTTAGAGCACCCAGAACCTCGCCCCTTCTGAGTCCTGCCTGCCTGCATGATGGGATCTCTGCAAAGGAGTCTGGGGGTGAATTGGTCTTAGGACCTTCCCTTCTACCCATCATAGCCAGGTCCAGGGTTCCCTTGATGGGGGGCAAGGGGGTGATTGGGAGTGTCACACCAGATTTATTCCTCAAGTCGTCCCCTCTGGCTGCTGCTGTGGGCGGGGCACAGACCTAGAATGTAGACCTCCTGAGGCCACACTCCCCAGCTCCTGAAACAGCACAGATGCAAACAACCACAGAGGAGTACCTGCGGTTACACACGTGAAGGGAGCAGGAGGGGCGGAAGGAAACAGGAGTGTCTGTGAGCCTCATGTAGAGCAGGGCCGCGCCAAGATTTACAAACAAGGTCTCCTGTCTAGCATCCCCTCCCCCGTTTTCAGAATGAGGAGACAGGGCCAGAGGGGAGGTGACCTGTACAAAGTGATGGAGCAGGCTGGTAGCTGGCAGTGGAGCAGCAAGGCCCCTTGCGCCCTGTCCTGCGCTCTGTCTACTACACCCTATCAGTGTCCCAGAAAACTATGGCATCCCAGGCTTGCTGGCCCTGCAGAACTGATGTGACTTGTTACGGCTCTGCAAGCAGAATATGATGCCCCCAGAGGAATGAATCGAGGCCCCAAGAGAAGACTCATGTCCAAGAGAGTCAGGGGAGAGCTAAAATTCCAGAGCCCCAATGATCTGCCTTCCCCAAGGCTTGGGCCACTGGAGGGGGGGGGGGTGGCTGAGGAGCTTTGGCATGCGCTCTCTTGCTGTCCGGAGGGGACCATTATGCTTTTACAAGTCCCGATTTATATACTTGCCTAGGCCTCAGTCCTGCCAGGGATTTATAGGTTTCTAAGTGATCGTTTCTCTGGGGGGAAATGCAAATGGAACATGAGCTGGGAAGGAATCGCCAACCTTGTGGCTGCAAAGCCAAAGCTCTTCAATGTATTCCCTGGGGCCCTGGGTCTGCAGTGCAATGGACCCTGCAGAAAAACCAGCAAGAGACTGCAAGGAAAGAGCCCCCAGGCAGTCCTGGTCTGGCCTTTGCCACCAAGGAGATGTGCCCTGTCTGTGCGGGTGAGGCTGCCTGTGCTGCTCAGGGCCAGGGAGCACAGACCCATGTGGGTGTAGGGTCGGGTTTGGTGGAGGATTTGGGGGCAAAGCAAAGAACTGGAGCACCAGGCATCAAGGGACTGGGGGATGGAAACAGGCCTGGTCCCAAGCCCAAGATGCTGAAGCTAGAGGATGGGCCTGCTCGACTATTTATTCTATGGGGTTTATTATAGTAGTCTCTGTACTTTTCTGTATGGTTGAATTCCAGAAAAGAACCAAAGCAGCCCCACTGCTGAGACTTTCTCTCTTGCCTGGCAGCCTGGATGGTACTGGAGGCAAGTCCAGGCTAGGGCTCTCCTGGGGGAGGGTCTGACGCCCCATCTTCACTGTGACTGTTCTACCACACATGCCAGTGGCCCTGTGTCTTTGAGTTAACTTGCCAAGGACAAATAACATCCGTGCAGATCAAGGGCCAGGACAAGCAGGAGCGAGCAAAAAACTATGAAGCAGATCTGTCACTGGGTCAAGGGCTGGACTGCACAACCGTAAAGGCCTCTCAGGCCCAACTGGGACTCTAGACATCAACTGTCTCACACCCATACAGGTAGCAGTGGGGCTGGCCACCCCAGCTTCATTCCTGAGACTGGACATAGGACAGAGCACGTTCAGGTGATGAACTGCAAGGAAGGCAGGTGACTGAGGCTGGGGTTACTGCCTAAACATTTCCTCAGAGAAAATGCCCAGGCAGCCCAGGACCGCAGGACAGGGACCTCCGCTCTCCCCCACCTCACGTTTCCTGACAAGAGCCCGTGCACTAGGAAATGAAGCCTGGACTGGAGGCTGAAGGGAAAGAGCTACATTAACCCAGAGGCTGCAGCCTGGAGCTCGTGAGTTTCTGTCAGTCTCTGGAGCCTGGGCAGTGGCCCTCACTTCACAGATAGGGAAACCAAGGCTCCAAGAGGCCAGACTGACCGAGAAGGTCAGTAGTGCTGCTCCAGCACTACTCCTATGGCAGGGAGTGGTTCTTAGTTATAGAAGACACGAAGTCCCAGAGAAGGAAAGACCATGCCTGAAACAGTTCAACTTACCCCTCTGCCTGATGAGCGACTTGAAGCAGATGGGTCTGTTGACTGCATGTTAAAATTTTCTGGGTGTTTCCAGGCTCCACACACAGACCCCCACCTCCTAGCGATGGAATTAGCTCTCCGAGGGTGAGCCCGTGCCCAAGTGTGAGAAGCTCCCCAGGAGGCTGCAGGGCCCAGAAGGGCTGGGAATGAGGGTACAGGGGTCACGCTGTGGCTACCAAGAGCCAGGCTCCATCGGCGTTTCACACATGTCCTTGTTTAACCTTCACCAGCCCTGCAGGAAAGGTCCTGTTGTCATCCCCATTTTATAGATGAGAAAACTAACAGCCAGGGAGGTGAAGTCAATTACCCCGGAGCATAGACAGCCACGCCAGAGTTTGGACTCATTCGCATCCTGACTGCAAACCGTGGACACCTCTGAGCCACCGCACTTGGCTGTCTCCAAACTCTTGAGGGGAGAGGCTGTGTCAAGGTGAGACGGGATCCTGGGACTAGGCGCCAACCCCTGTACAACCCGCCTCTACCACTGACCTGTGGAAAACTATTTGCACTCAGGATCTTGTTTTCTTTATCCATATATACAATGAGAAC